TATCGCAAAAGGTGGCTCTTTGAAGTTGTATTGAAACAATCAAAATGCATTGTGTGTACCCCCTAAAGGTCTAACAAATTTGTTTTTTTTGTTTGTTTTTTCTGTTCACATTTAGTGTTTGGGCAAAGCTTAAATGATAACTTAAGGCAGCTTAAAGGGGCCCTATTTGCTCATGTTCAGGTTCATATTAGCATTGTGTGTCTCTACTGGGACATGTCTCCATGCTTTAAAGTTCAAAGCTCTTTATCTTGCTCATACTGCCTGTGCTGCAGCACCTCTTTTCACCCTCTGTCTGAAACCAGAGCACAGTCTGCTCTGATTGGTTAGCTGGCCGGCTTGACCAATGGACATGGACCTGGACCACATTAAACCATGGAACCAATAAAAGAACACAAATCAAAAAAAATTGTAATAGTAAGAACCTGTATTTCAACTATATTTCCACAAAGAAAGAAGTGAAGTATGTTGGTTCATATTATTTAACTTGTTAAACTTAAGACTAAAAACCAGACCTAAACTGAGCAGGAACTTTGAACATGTCACATTTCAAGTGACTAACAACAACATAATCCAGCATAGCATGAAAGTGATGTTCTCCATTGAAGCTAAAGAGGAGCGACTCATTCCATTTCAGAGCTCCGTTGCTGAGTGGAGGCAGGAGTGGGAGGACGTGTTTAGCACAGTGTGTCAGAGACTGCATTCTCCAGCTGTGCAGACTTACAGTCATATTAATCCCACGATGAAGTTGCTCATTAAAGTTTGACCCAACACCCTTTGATCCTCTCACTTCTGCAAACTTGGTTTTGACATGTAATTTACATCACTAGGTAGTTCCCATGTGTGTGTTGCGTCTACACTTAAAGTTGTATTTAAAACACATTGAAAACCATATTTAAAACTATTAATTGATTGTCAAAATAGTCAGATACACGTATTAAATAATGCAATTATTCTTGCTGAATTTACAATAACTGCAAATATATGGGAGGTGTGTGGTGCAGTGGGTTGTGCGTTGGTGTTCTGAACAGGTTCAAACCCCACTGCAGTCAGCATGTCATTGTGTCCCTGGGCAAGACCCAAATTGCTCCTGTGGGGATTGTCCACAGTATTGAGTATGTAAGTCGCTTTGGATAAAAGCGTCTAACAAGTGACATGTAATGTAATGTAATATAAGAAAGTGTTGCCTGAATGAGAACTGTCCATGGTTCTGAGTGGGAGCTTTTACTTGTTCTGAATGAGAACCGTCCGTCGTTCTGAGTGGGAATTGTCACTTGTCCTCAACAAGCAATCTTATGTCATAAAACGAGAATTTAATGAGGAGTAAACATACCGAAAAAGGATCAGGCTGCAAGAAAACAAGTGTTTTGTTGTCTCTGTTGTCGTGATGCCTTTTGTTCACCGACAGGAGGTCACGTTTAACAACTTTTTTCAATGTACCACTACATCACTGCATCACAACCAATGGGATACTGGAGAGCAGACCAACATGTGAACGGGGATGACGTTGTTGCTGGCGTAGGGCTGCAGTTTGGTGGCTCCTACTAAATGAATGCAGAGGGAATGGACGAGCATGACACGCTGCCGGTCGGACAGTGCGCACTGCTGACCTCCGCTCAGTATCACTTCATCGGGATTTCTTATCACACTTCACTTCAGAGGATTTCTGCCACTTTGGGTTTTCTTCGCAGGGATAGTGTTGGGTGACCTCTCTAACTGCATTCTTAGGACACGAGTGGTAAGTTGTACACACATTATTACCTGTTTGTGACCCAATTAAATTACATTATCTGTTTTCAAACATATGTTTGATGAAAACACAAGCTGAACTTGATCTGAACTATCGCTCGAATGTTATAGAACCATATTGCTTTTGAGAGAATTAAGAAGTAACATTTTAGTTGTTATGTTAAAACTAAATAAGACCTGCATTATTCTCATTCCGTTTGCTGTTACTTACTTTAAGATTAATACACTTAATGCGTGAAATAAAATATATTCTTATGATGAAGTGTTAGGGGGGAAAGTAAACATGTTTTCTTCCCTCTCCCTATTCTCCTTTGGGGGTCCCAGAGGACTCAGCATGCTGTCCTCCCTGAAGACCCTGCTGCTGCTCTCGGTCCTGTGCACGCCGACCTCCAGCCTTTGCCTCCGCCTTTACCACACCCGCTCCAACCTCCTGTGCGACGACCAGATGGATGTGGGGGTCCAGAGTGACGAGGAGGAGCTCCCTGTCGACGGCTGGGGGTCCCTTCTGCAGTCCGCAGAGTACCTCTCCTCCTCCACCTCCACTTCTGCCGAGTCCAGCCGGGAAAAAAGGACTTCAAGTCCCGCGAACTACCGCTTCGTTAGCCGGACGAAGCTCAGAGAGCAGCTTCTCCGAAACAGCATCAAAGGCGACCGAAGGAGCAGGCTGACCCTGTCTCTGGACGTCCCGACCAACATCATGAACGTCCTCTTTGACGTCGCCAAGGCCAAACACATGCGCGCAAAGGCGGCCGAGAACGCGCGCATGCTGGCTCACATTGGCAGGAAAAAGTGATCATGTTGGACAACTTCAGATGTACATTATCTGCCATGACCAGTGTTGGCCTCAAATGTGATGCATTATTCACTTTCAAAGTGTACGCTTTTGATTTCTTTATCTCTGGAAGATTGTTATATTTCCACTCACAGTGCAGGTAAAAGAAGCATATCTAAGAAAACTGAGTAACTGTAAAGTTTTTTATTTCTGTTACTCCAATGAAAACAAATGGGGAAACCTCCATCGGGACGTATGACCAATAGTTGGATGTAAAATCTTTACATTGTGACAATAATTGGCATATAAATATCTTAAAACTGTCAAATGTACAAATTGTTACTCATAAATTGACTCTTAAATGGAGACAGAGTGTTTTATAAAAAAGATTCAAGGTGAGAATAATCCATGTGTTTCTTATGCTCTAAAATAAGTGTTGTAGCAATAAGCAATAAGGAAGTAATTTGACTTGTATCAAGATAATTGTGTTTTAAGAGAACATGGATGTGTTTTAAATTTGAATGAAACACTTGAAATGGTCTCACCTTTCAGATCTGAAAAGAAGACTTGAAACAGATATGAGTATGAGCTGCAGCAAAGCAGGACTGCATACAATTTAAATAAACCCTTAGTTTCTCTGTCTGTAAAATGTATGTTTAATATGGTCAGTTGCCCGGGACTCATCAAATTTTAAAACATGAACTAAACAAAAAAGAACAAAGCTGTTTTCAGTATCAATTATTACATCCTTAGCGAAATATGGTGTGTTTTGTAACTCTGTTGCATAATCATAACATTAGATTTTATAGTATGATGTTTTTCTCTCTTTGTTGTTTGATTTATTTAAGAAGATTGCTGTTCTGAAGTTCAGATGGGAGCCTATGATGAATCCAGGTTTGTGTAACATCATCAGGAAAAACACTGAAATACTGTACAAACCAACTGCAAGATCATGACATACAGTAAAATGCAAATGCATGAGAATGTAGTGTTCATCAGATGTCTGTTATTTTTATACGCAAAATAAAGGATTATTTTTCCTCAAATAAAGCAGATGCGATTTACTACATTTAACTTTTTGTACAGACAGCATTTTAAACAATTGGGTAGGCTACATAGAATATTCCTTGAAATCATTATTCCTTTACAATTGATAAGGCTAGTAGACACTGACTGATACATCAGAAGCCTATCATGTACGTTTTTACAGCATGGCCATTATATAATAATACAAAGACAAAAACAGAATATCTTTATCATTTGAAGTCTCAAATACAATGATCAGTATCAGTCAGGCTATAGCATAAATTCCTTATTACGCTGTCAGTGGATGAGAATTGTTCTTTCTCCACTGAACTGAATACTTCAACAGCTATTTGGCTTTTATAGATGGGGTGATGGTCTCCTTTCTGGCAAGAGTCTCAAAACAAGGATGCAATGGCGACATCTTGTGGCCATTTAAATGATTTCGACTACTGTTTTGAGAAATTATTATTTCTCCGTTGCTCCCATGTTGGGCCACTCTCAGTTCTCTTTGGTCCTCCTATACTTTCCCATGCCCAAATCTTACTCAAAGTCAAGGATGAATTAGCAAGCAGGCATATCGTTCTATTTTCACTGTGCAATATAATTCACATTTATCTAGCAAAACTCAAGCAAAAATATATCAGACATTTGATATGTTATGTAGCAGTAAGGAGGCTCTTCCATGATCTATGGAGCATTTTTCTCAGTTGGAAAAAAGAATATGTTTAAATATTTGTGTCACCAAATCTAATAAAAGAGTTACTTACTAAACATGTGTGACTTGGTTTAAATCCAGTATGAACTATAGGTTCATTCACTCTCCTGTATAATGTAGTTTGTCAGCAGCGCCCTCTGCTGGTCAGGACGTAAAATGGTTCATGCTTGTCTTCGTTGACGTGGACGCTTCACCCGGAAGTGAGTTTTCATTTTGGCTACGTGGAAGTAGCTTCTCTTCTGACCGAGAGCATCTCGTCCGTCTGCTCCATTCCGACAACATGATTAAAAAGTTTGATAAGAAGGACGAGGAGTCAGGTAAGAGCACACAGTTATTAATGTAAACAGTGAAAACGTTTGTAAAACGCAAATTGTGTGTGGACTGACAAGAGGTTTGACGCGTTGGAAGCTAACAGAGCTAGCCTGGAACAGCTAGCCGGCTAGCTAAAGTTAACAGGAGGTATTAAGATGTCGTTTAACCGTGGCTTGCATGTTATTTTATATGTATGTAACAGGTATCGAAGGTAAATTTTAAACCGATTATCAGTTGCATTCAAATGTGTTCGCGCTATTTTAACACCAGATAGCGAAATGTAGCGTTAGCATTGAAGTGTAGACAGTGTCAGCTGGATGTTATGATGTGTTGTTTAGACGTTTAATCTCTGAACATGAGTTCACAATGTAGATGAGTGAATCATGCTGCAGGGATTCTTTAATCCAAGGGAGATATGTCTTCATGTATTGCTTTGATTAGTATTATATTTTGGATTGAATATATGTATCTTAGACTGGCGTCCTCTCGGCGTGCAATACTGCAATGCTTTAACTACAACCTCTCCAACTGTTCTGTTCTGACATTTAGGGAGTGGGTCCAACCCTTTCCAACATCTGGAGAAGAGTGCCGTGTTGCAGGAGGTAATTTCCCCTCATAATATTTGTTAAAAATGTACAATTCTACCTCTATTGTTTATTGCTTGTGTCCGAATGTGTGTAGAATTACCCAACATTATTTATTGAACGTTTTCTTTGTATTTTGATTCAGTGTTTTTATATGTTACTTGTGTGCAAAAATAATAAACAAACCAGTAATCAAATAAAATGTGTTCTGCTGTTTATATAAGACAAAAAGCATCAGCCAAAGAAACAATATCCTTGCCATTGAAATGAATGAAGGTGTCCTCTGTGTTCTCAGGCACGAATCTTCAATGAGACTCCTATCAACCCGAGGAGATGCCTCCACATTCTCACCAAGATCATATACCTGCTCAACCAGGTAAAAAGTAGTTCCTTTTAAAAGGAACACTTACTTTTTTGACATGTATTTAGTTTTGTTTGTCCCCCCAGCTTAACATCAAAGGTCTCTCTTTGTCTTTTCTATGTTTTATTAAGGGGGAGCACTTTGGGACCACAGAGGCCACCGAGGCCTTCTTTGCGATGACCCGGCTCTTCCAGTCCAATGACGTAAGATCTCATTCATTCAATTATTAGTTTGGATACTAAGAGATTTACTTATTCTTTTTCATTTGAGCATCAGTTTGTAGTGTTTAAGTTCAATAAGTTCATACTTTCTTTCTCTCTTAGCAAACCCTGAGGAGGATGTGCTACCTGACCATCAAAGAGATGGCCAACATCTCTGAGGATGTCATCATTGTCACTAGCAGGTTTGTACCATGACGTTAAATGACCTGTGTGAAAATACTGATATATTGAGCTCTTATCCTTCAGTACTTAATCTGGTTGACAGACAAGGCATCTCAAACTATATCACGTATGAGAACAACTCTGTTATAAATATGTTTTCTCCTTGTGTGATATCTTACAGCCTGACCAAAGACATGACAGGGAAGGAGGATGTGTACAGAGGACCTGCTATCAGAGCCCTCTGCAGGATCACTGATGTGAGTCCTGCTTCAGCTTGTTTTCCCTCTCCTGTTGCCCCATCTCTCGCTTCACATTGTCATATCATGCTATACAGGAGAGCTCCTGTATATATTATATATACATATTTAGAATATCATTTAGATGTGAAGCATTGTTTTATTAAAACGTTCCTTGTCTTCCCCACAGACCACCATGCTGCAGGCCATTGAGAGATACATGAAGCAGGCTATTGTCGACAAGGTGCCCAGTGTGTCCAGCTCAGCCCTGGTCTCCTCACTGGTAAGACAAGGCACTGTTTTACATTTCTCTTACATATTCAAAGATTCTCCTGATGTGTTATGGTTCCATAACATTGAGATTCACTTGTCATATCATTGGGGTAATGTAGTCCTTTCTCTCTGTGTGTGCAGCACATGGTGAAGATGAGCTACGATGTGGTGAAGCGCTGGGTGAATGAGGCTCAGGAAGCTGCTTCCAGTGACAACGTCATGGTCCAGGTGTGTAGGAGACATTCATGTTAGTTTGAACACTTATCTGTTTGTAGAGGGAAGAGTAATATGTGAGTGTGTTCAGTTGGAGCAGATTATATATCACTTGTTACAGTTACATTTCAAAGTGTTGCTTGTATGTGTGTCCCTTGTCCCAGTACCATGCCCTGGGCCTGTTGTACCACCTGAGGAAGAACGACCGCCTGGCCGTCACCAAGATGCTCAACAAGTTCACCAAGTCCGGCCTCAAGTCTCCCTTTGCCCACTGCATGCTCATCAGGATCGCCAGCAAGCTGCTGGACGAGACGGAGGGGGGGTGAGAAAAGATTTCAGATTCATTCATTTAAATGATCATGATATTACAAAATATACAATATAATTATATATTTCCTAGAGGCGTCAAAAATAAAGTACATTCTAATATTTAACAAATGTTTGATCTCTTAACATCTGCAACACAACTAAACGTATGATTTCTAAGTCATTTCTTAATGAAGAATATGGTGTTAAAAAAGTAAAGATAATTCCCCGGGATATAAATAAGGCCGTCCCCAGTATATTCTCCATCCTATCATGGGCCCTTGGATGAGAAAAAAGAACCTTTTGCTCTCGTAGACAAACACAAACATCTCAGTAGTCATAGGACAACATGATGCAAACTGCAGGGTTAATGAGTACTGAATTCTGCCTTTTTATTTCCAGGCACGACAGCCCGTTGTTTGACTTCATCGAGAGCTGCCTGAGGAACAAGAACGAGATGGTGGTGTACGAGGCGGCCTCTGCCATCGTCCACATGCCCAACTGTACGGCCCGGGAGCTGGCCCCCGCTGTGTCAGGTCAGGAGTTTACCCACATCTCAGTCCTCTCTGTTCTATCTGTATAGTGGGCTGTCAGAACAGAATGGTGTGTTCATGAGTCTCACTGTGGATGTCTTCCCACAGTACTGCAGCTCTTCTGCAGCTCTCCTAAAGCAGCCCTGAGGTACGCTGCAGTCCGGACCCTCAACAAGGTACAGCTTCATTCAACATCCTCCTTTACATGGCTTCTTTTATTTATGATGTGTAAGCATAGATATTTCAATTCAGATATAGTTTGTCATATTGCTGAGTTATTCAGGAGTTGCATTATGTAAAAGGCAGTGTTAGAGTGGTCCCTTTTGATGTCACAGCCAGATACATAAAGCATGCCTGAAAGTGCTTTTTTGTGATCCATCTGTTTTGACACACACTGACATGTTCCCTGTGTCCACTAGGTGGCCATGAAGCATCCATCAGCTGTGACTGCGTGCAACCTGGACCTGGAGAACCTGATCACCGACTCCAACCGCAGCATCGCCACGCTGGCCATCACCACTCTGCTGAAGACGGGCAGTGAGAGCAGCGTGGACCGACTCATGAAGCAGATCTCCTCGTTCGTCTCGGAGATCTCTGACGAGTTCAAGGTCAGACACTCACGTTTTAGCTTAGGTTGATCCTGTGTTTCTCTACAAACAGACAATGAGTCTTGCCATCAAATACTCTACAAATTAGAGCAAGGCATTAATTTCCTATATGAGATGCTCTTCTTCACCTGACTTTTTTGAATCCTGTTGTTATTGTTGTATTTGTCCCTAACCTGGCCCTGATGCTTGTTGTTCCAGGTGGTCGTTGTGCAGGCCATCAGCGCTCTGTGTCAGAAGTATCCCAGGAAGCACAGCGTCATGATGAACTTCCTGTCCAACATGCTCAGAGATGATGTGAGTGGATCATTTGCAGACTGCTGACCTTCACACTTGCTATAGAGCAAGTATACATAAGTGTTGATCAGTAGTCCATTTGTCCACAGATTGTGTATCGTGTTGCATATTACTTGATGAAGTCCTACAGTGTGTGTTTCAGTTGTGTTTAAGCCTGACCCTTCTCTCTCTGCAGGGGGGTTTTGATTACAAGCGGGCCATCGTGGACTGCATCATCAGCATCATCGAGGAGAACCCGGAGAGTAAGGAGACGGGCCTGGCCCACCTGTGTGAGTTCATCGAGGACTGCGAACACACGGTGCTCGCCACAAAGATCCTGCACCTCCTGGGCAAGGAGGGCCCCCGCACCCCCCAGCCCTCCAAGTACATCCGCTTCATCTTCAACAGGGTGGTGCTGGAGAGCGAGGCTGTCCGTGCAGGTGAGGGGGGGGGACTGTGGGGGGGTCAATGGGAAACATTTTAAGGAATGTCCATTTTTTACAATGGCAGTGGCTGACCTCTAACATCCATGTGTCTGTCAGTGCTACTTGCATGACATCTATGGAATACTGATTACTTTATTTCTATGGTCTTTTATAACCAGTTTAAACATTTGCTTCTTCCTTCAGCTGCTGTCAGCGCTCTGGCTAAATTTGGAGCTCAGAATGATGATCTGCTGCCGAGCGTCCTGGTTCTCATGCAGAGGTACTTATTTGAATTTGAGGAAAATACAAAGCAAACATATTTTAAAGTATTGGTAATAGACTTCTTAAATCTAATGAATCCCGTCCTCTACATCTGTGTTTGAATGGAATTGTGATGTCTGACTGTAACACGTTTGTTCTCCCAGGTGCATGATGGACAGTGATGATGAGGTGCGCGACAGAGCTACTTTCTACAACAACGTGCTGCAGCAAAAGCAGAAGGCTCTGAACGCTGCATACATCTTTAATGGTACACGCACACACACGCACACGCACACGCACACGCACACGCACACGCACACACACACACACACAATGTCTTGATAGTGTTGATGAGAGTTCATACTAGCTGCCTGTCAGAATATCTACCCATACGTTAGAGAGGTTTTTGCTGACTTTGTCTCCTCCCCTGTGTGCTGCTCTCAGGTCTGTCGGTCTCTATCCCCGGCCTGGAGAAGTCTCTCCACCAGTACACTCTGGACCCCTCAGAGAAGCCCTTCGACATAAAGAGTGTCCCTCTGGCCACCACTCCTCTCACAGAACACAAAACAGGTACAGGGTTTTTTAATCCTCAAATGAGAAGCCATCACTGAATCAGAAAGTTAAGTTATGTTTTTTATTCTTCCTAGAAATGGCCCCTATTTCCAGCAGCAAAATGCCAGATAAGTTGACCCCATCACGCCAGGACATTTATCAAGGTAAGATCAATAACTGTCTGTCCATCATCACATTCTAAATTAGACATTGATACTCACCTTTATACTTAAACCACAGTATTGTTTTAAACTGTCTCTGTTTTGTTTGTTTTACAGAACAACTGGCGGCCATCCCAGAGTTCCAGGGTCTCGGCCCGCTCTTCAAGTCCTCGGAGCAGGTGCAGCTGACGGAGGCTGAGACAGAATACGTGGTGCGCTGCGTCAAACACACCTTCGCCAGGCACATGGTGTTCCAGTTCGACTGCACAAACACGCTGAACGACCAGCTCCTGCAAAAGGTACCCGCTTTGTTTCATGAACATTTTGTTCAACTAACTTGAATGTTTCTGGAGATCTGGCTAGATACATCGTGCTGTTCTTAAATGACTCGTTTGAGTGATCTTACATAAAAGAGAGGAGTCCACGCAGTATTGTGATTGTGTTGTGTTGGTCTCTGTGTCAGGTCATGGTGCAAATGGAGCCGTCGGAGTCCTACGAGGTGATTCACTACACCCCCGCCGCTAACCTGGCCTACAGTCAGCCGGGGTCCTGCTACACCCTGGTGCGGCTGCCCGAGGACGACCCCACCGCCGGTAGGAACACGGAGAGGTTTTTGGGCTCTTTGAGCAGTCGCAGATTGATAAAGAATATTAAAGGTGTTTCCCTCTTCCTCAGTGTCTTGTACCTTCAGTTGTACTATGAAGTACCTGGTCAGAGACTGCGACCCCAACACAGGAGAGCCCGACGATGACGGTTATGATGATGAATACGTGGTATGCAATCACAAAACTAAACCAACAAGAAGAATGAGCTTCATTTGGTGTTTGTTTGTCAATGTGAATCCTATTCATCTTGTTTCCCTGCCCCTCTGCAGCTGGAGGATCTGGAGGTGACGGTGGCAGATCACATTCAAAAGGTTTTGAAATCCAACTTTGGAGCAGCGTGGGAGGAAGTGGGAGATGAATTTGAGAAAGAAGAGACTTTCGCCCTGGCGTCTGTACGGACTCTGGACGGTGAGTCAGAATCTGCACTTAGTACAACAAATCTATCGTTGAATATTTGACATTTTCATATTTGAGTTGAGATTCCATTTGTAGACTAGAGTCCAGTGTGTCAACCATAACAATATGCACTGCGCTTGTTAGTCAGTGTCATTGAAGATGTTTGCAGTAGATGAGTGTGCTGAGTGACTCATCTTTTGGTTTCCGTGTGCAGAGGCGGTGGGTAACATCATCAGCTTCCTGGGAATGCAGCCATGCGAACGCTCCGACAAAGTTCCCGAAAACAAGAACTCGCATGTCCTCTTCCTCGCTGGTGGGTGCTAGATGTGGAGTTGATTTCTTACATTTGTAATTTAGCCTTTATGTTTCTCATAACCAAACACCATTACTAAAGAGGCAGACTGAATTAAGATTCAGTTCAATTAACATCACTCAATAAGGATAATATACCGTCATAATTATTTCATCACTTTCTCACCTAACACTATTGAACACAAATACGTTTTGTTTTTTGAAACTATCCTGGTAAGCTGGGTTCTGTGATTTGATTGGCCGCTGACAGCTCTCCCCTCTCTTCTCAGGTGTGTTTCGGGGGGGTCACGACGTGCTGGTCCGCGCCCGCCTGGCCCTGGCTGACGGGGTCACCATGCAGGTGACGGTGCGCAGCAGTGACGAGACGGTTGTCGACATCATCCTGGCGTCCGTGGGCTAAGCCCCGCCCCCCTCTCTGCACCACAAACTGTCATCACTTTCCACAGCTCTAATGATTAAATATATTATGTTATTATGCTGACACGATGCGACCTGGAAGATAACATACATTGTATTACTTCTAAAATGTTTCTTCAGTTTCTTTTACTGTCTGCTGGTCCCCATGTTTTGTTTGCGATAAGAACATTCTTCGGACAAATCTTCAATAAATTCTGTCTGTCAAAGTATATCGAGTTCCATTAACATTTTTTTTTACAAAACTAGTTTTATTTGGAGAAAATGTTGACATTTCGGCTTTCATTGACATCAGGAGAAATGTAGAAAATCATATCAAAATTCATTCAGAATGCATACAATTAAAGGACAAACTGACCATTTCCCACAAAGTGAAATAATCACAGACCCAACAGAACTTTTAGTGTTGTGCTGAAAGAGGGTCGATAAATGAACCTCTGGCATCACCAGAATAGTCATTCAGTACAATGAATGTATTTATAGCTCACATTTGATGTCTCCTGGTAGTAATTGACATTTAGGGACTGATGCTGGTAAACTACTGGTGATTACATCTCAATCTGATGAAGCATTACTCCTGGATGCAATCATCAAAAAAGGTCTCAGCACCACATGTGACCATTTAGAAATTAATTGGGAAATACCAAACAGCTTGTTAAGGGTGAGAATTCATTCATGATCACAGGTTATTGCATTTAGTATCTTTTCAGAAAGAGTGAATGAAATTGAAATATGCATTGAGGAAGCCGGTGGGATCCTCCAGCTGAGGGTAGTGACTGATGTGTTCGTCCAGAATGGTGATGGTGGACCTCTGGACCAGCTTCCTGCAGAACAGGACACGTGTGTCAGTGAATGACATTAAGAGAAACAAACACACAACAACTATTTAACACATTGGTGGTCTAGTGGTTTAAGACACTGACTCAGAGACCACAGTATTTAAATCAAGCTTTATCTGAAATCAGTTTCTGTTTTTTTTTCTTAATCTCCCTACTAAAATGCTCCAAACATGAAGAAAAAGGCAAATGTCAACATTTGTTTGTGCATAAGTGTTGCCTCATTATTTGCATCCAAAGAATACATGTAATTTAACCAAAATAGTGAGTATTTCTGACTACAAGTTTTAATGTGAGGACACTCACATCTATCTCTCCTCTTTGGTGTAGTGGTAATGTCGTTGACTTTTAGTTTTAAAGGTTTTTGGTTCGAATCCCATCCAAAAAACATATTTGGAAACTAGGCAGTAGAATGAGCAACCAACAACAACAAAAAAGCTACAAAAACCCCTGAAATAATTAGAATAAACATTAACATTTTTGTGATCAAAACCTAAATGTAAACTCATTCATAATCATTAGATTCATAAAAATGTTCCCATAAATGTCCACATTTTGTCATATGTGGGAAGTTTTTAAATAACGTCTATCTGTTGTTCAGCTCCAAAAGAAAGTATGAGCAGAGAGCGGAGTGTCTGTAAAGAGGTTTCAGACACGGATTAAGAATGAAAGGTTGGGCACTCACTGGTAAAGACGAATGAACTGGGGATGAGGGTTGACCGGGTCCAGGGGTCCGTAGATCATGTGCACTGAAACACAAGAGGGAGGAAACAGGTCATGGAGGGAGGAACACTGAGAGGAAGGAGAGATACAAAATGGAGTTCTTCAAAGAAGATAGTTCAAATTGGAATAGCAAATAAAAGATCTGGATATGAGGTCTAAAAGCTAAATGAGTTATATGATATACAAATTAGAATGAATTGGATTTGATTTATATGTTGCAGGACGCCACATTCTTTTTCTAAATCACCCGACACTTGAATCTCACATTTACTCACCGCTACAATGATTCAGAAGAATTGTCTCAGTGACTCTAGCTAAAGCCTTTAGCCTCATTTACTATGAGGTCTGTGTCAGCAGCACACACACACACACACCCACCCACCCACACACACACTCACACTCCCACATACACACACCTCCCCCCTGAGCTCAGGATCACAGATGGACTACGAGGCTTCCTCTCACATGCTAAGCAGCTTAGCGTCCAGGACTCTGCACAACAGAGTTAATACATCTCAAGGAAATGTTTCGGCTGCACGAAATGACCCCCACCCTCTCATTCATCAACAAGGAGCAACTTTGAACTCACGTGGGACGAAGGTGGAGGTGAGCGCACCCACCCACCGCTCTCTGTGTTTTAATCTCTGGTTGATGTATTGCAGAATGCTGGGAGAAGGAGAAGATTACATGAGTTAGCAGCAACTAAAACAATTCATTTGAATGCAAAGAAAACAAATACACACACACACACACACACACACACACACACACACACACACACACACACACACACACACACACACACACACACACACCTGTCCAACACTAAGTTGCCGTCGTTGTGGCGTAGCCCCGTCCACATGTCCCAGAACTCAGCGTCTGTGGGCTGTGTGTAGGGCCCGAAAACGTCTCCAATCCTGACAGAAGACAGAAAACATTAAAAAAAAGAACATTAATGCAGTTACAACATAGATTTTAATCTCATCATTTGGAAGAAAACGCTGGTTCTCTTACCCTTTTTGGAAGAGCATATAGTTGGTGAGACGCGTCAGAACTGGAGCCAGGAAACTGGAGTCCTTCAGAAGCTTTGAGAGACAAAACAACCTCTCAGTTAAACCTTTGAGAGCCAAACCCACACACCAGATTACCATTCAAATCTTACATTACACAATTCCACATGAGATGAATGGTAGGATCAAAGGTGACTCACCCTCTGCAGCAAACGTGGGTAATGTGTTTCTGGGAATAAACCTGAGGGAAATAATACATTCAGCACTGAGTGTGACTTTCAACACATAGCAAACTGATTTAGGTTACATTATTATTTTTACTTTACTATGAAACTCAAATTGCCCTTTTTGTCATACCAAAAGTAAAGTCGACAACTTACATACAAACTACCAAACATTTTCTAGATTTAGCTTCCAAATTGCTTTTATCAAGAGATAAAAGCAATTTGGAAGCTAAATCTAGAAAATGTTTGGCCGTGTTATGCATGCCCACTGCACCTGGTGGAAGCACGCACAGCGTAAAGCACTAACAGACATTTCAATGATTTGTTCGGCAAAGTTAGGTTTGGAAACGGTATCATTTCCTTTTTGGCGGGCATGCATAACGCGGCATAACACCGGAAACTTTGGCGCTGTTCCGAGTTTGTTCTAATCTGTCAAAATGACGGACTGCTTTCAGATTTTTCCGTCATTGTCAAAAAAAATAATGTTACAACGGAAAATATTCGGTTAACGCGACCTCTGGTGTGAATAAAGTTTTACAGGTGTTAAGTGTATTCATCAAGGACTTTCTTTCTTTTTCTTCTCTTTAAGATGTCAAGGTAACCCAGGATGAGAGAGGAATATAGAGATGTTCTTTGTGGATGAAGCCTTCCTTTAAGAACTGATTACAGAATATAAGAGCCCCAGTCTTGTTGCTGTAAAGCTGCTAACTACAACATGCCCAAAGACAGTACCTCCGTTAGAGAGACACAGGCTGTTGAAGGTCAGGTGACCTGTGCGGTTTTGGTCACTTCTGTTCAGCAGCAGGACAGAGAAAACACAGAGGAGGGGGGGGGGGTTAGCTCTTTAACATTCTACTCTGTTATCAAATGTGTTCCCTGGCACACACACAGACCTGTAGAGCAGCTCCAGGGCCACGGTGTCTCCGTAATCGTGGGACATCACATTCACTCTCTGGTGGCTCAGACCCAGGTGAGCCGCCAGAGCCTCCACCACACTGGCCTGCTCGAAGATGGAGTACTTGTGGGGTCTCTGGGGGGTCCGGCAGGAGGAAACACGTCATGAGTCAGTGAAGTTATAGATCATCAAGCAGGACATGTGTTCATAATTGCTTCATCTATAAAATAGAGACATTTGAACTGACACTACTCACAGGCTTGTCACTAAAGCCGAAACCCAGGAAGTCTAGTGCAATGACTCGATGGAAGCGCTGAGTGAGGGGCTCCCAGATCTGTACAGAAAAACACACATTAACTCTCTGGTCAAACACATTATTTGTAATTGACAAATACATAACACACACAGATAGATACATAGATACTGAAAAACTAAACAGGGGACCACACTCCTCCACATTTACAGCCTTCTTATTACATTGATACATTCCATTTCTCCTAGCCTCGTTCACAGAGCTCTGCTTTAGTCCTCAGACAGTAGGTCAGTCTTTACATAGCATACATTTCTTCTACAATGTCGAGTCACTGACCCAGGCCAGGAGGGTCACCTTTTAACCTGTATCAGGATTTTTTTTAAAGATAAGAGGTCTTCCTTTCCAATGATACTATCTGGAATCAAGCCTAGGTGCACAGCCCTGAGGTCACAGGGACTCTTATACGTTCATATGTCTTCCAGAGTCTGAGTAACCCCTGAGTTATTGGGATGGAACTGTCCACATTGTCTCACACAGTACTACTCTCTTCCCATTTGTTTATTTGTAATGTGTGGTTTAATGTCCTTCCAAGTTCCTTCCATCTTTTGGAGCTAGTTAAAGTATGTTGTTTTCAGCATAGAATGCCAATCACTCTCAGACGACTCAATGTTAAACTCTCCCTCCCACTTCATTTTCACATATAGGTTACTTCTTCCATATGTTTTTTTGTTAATTGCTATAGAGACCATTTCTGAGGGGGTTTGATGAGACGAGTCTGCCAGAACTCCAATTACTTCATTGCCTTCTATTGAGATTCTTTTTTTCATTTCTGTGTCATGGAAATGTTATAGATATTTGAACAGGTCCCTGTTTTCTAGCTCAAACTCTGAAATAATCAAATGTTTTTAAAGGAGTGTCTCTCTACGAGTCTAGTCCAGCTAACCCAATCAAAGTCTTTTCAAGCGTGAAAACGACATCTATGCTTTTTAACGGTGCTTCGGTGTGTTTCACTAGCTACTGATTGCGTACCTTGTTCCAGTCGAAGCTGGAGGTGGGGAAGCCGTGCAGCAGAATGATGACATCAGAGCTTCCCAAAGCACCGGAGGAATCTGGTTCAGGGAGAGAAGACATTTACATGTGTGAAAAGCACATGTGGGGAAGGGATGGATGCATGGTGAAAAAATAAATAAACAACATTATAACTAAGAATATGATCAGGTCTCTCAGAAGCACACCGCTTAGCTCATAAGACAATAGACAATGTGACATTTATATAGATTGAACAATTAGTCGATAAAGAAAATTAAAACTTGAACATTTAATGGCAACCTCTATGGTTATAAGCTCTAGAACAGCCGGGAAATAAAGTGCATCTCTTTGGGTGTTGGACTGTTAGCCAGTCAGACAAAACGTACGATGTCTCTTATAATGGCTGTTTTTCACTTGATTTGGATGTTAAAATAATATTCGTGAATTGAAAACGTAATGAAGCCCTGGTCAAAGTAATATTCCATTACACTCCTGACTACCCGTGTGTGTACATTAACCCCAGCACTGTGACCGAGGACACATTCCAAACTCACCTCTGTAGAAGATCTCCCTGCCTCTGAAGTGGAACACCTCCCCCGCACTGTGCCACTTCTGAAGGGCGGGGGACAGGTGGGGGGGTGGGATGTGAAGGTAGACAGCCATCAGTGGGATGCAGATCAAACCCACATGCACCCACCACTCTTTCATGTTGAGCTCAGCGGTGTCGCATTCCTGCCTCTAGGAGAGGATGGGTCCCATGCAACAGTATGGATTAGATTAGATGTACACCATTGATCCCAAAGTGTTGTTTGTTACAACAGCGTTGAGTTCAACAAATAAACAGTGTATGTTTACATATCAACAGAATTCAGTTAGATATCCATAGAGTATCAATAAAATAAACACAATAAAACACACAGAATCATTTAGAATACACTAAAATAGGCCAGCCTGGTTTAGCATACTCACATTTATTCATATTACTTAAAAATGTCAATAACAGTCTCTATAGTATATTCATATTTATAGTGTATAGTACTGTCTTTTTTGGACCTGATCTATAGTATATTCAATTTCTATACTGCTGTTTATAATGTCTAGATACCTCCTTATACTGTTCATAGTGTAAATACTGTCAGATGTATATTTGTATTATGCAAATATCACTGTAGCCTACTACTTGTTCTGCATTTCTGGTTAAATGGTAAGTGCCTTTCGTTGTCTTAGTACTCTGGACAATGACAATAAAGTTGGATCTAATCTAATCTAAAATAATGAGGAATAGGTCATATAACTCCATACAGGTGAGATCTGGCTGCCTTCTCACCTATATTGTTGACATTACTATACAGCACGATCATCCAATGTGCATTGTGTGGCGTTCGGGGACCAGCACCAGCTGACAGAACATGCTAACTGAGCTCTAACACTCAAATAAGGATACAACGTTACAGTAAATTAGCTTAACATTAACGATTTTAAGGGGGGCATTCAATAACGTCCAACTCAAGAGGGAAACACACAGCTTCCCCTTCACTCATTCTACAACACGGTGTGTTAGTTTTGAGAGGCTGACAGTGTAGCACACTGCAGTACTTACAGAAACGTTACGACCTGTGGTTTGCAGACCTTCGGCCGGTGTCAGAGTCCATTACGGCAGAAGGGATTCCTGCAGAGCGGAAAGGAACCTCGGTAAGAGGAAGAAGAGTGTAGACGTCTCACTCAGTTGCTAGGCAAACTTAATTGTCCTAGCAGCGCAATGGGTTGTGGTTGTTTTCCCGACCGCATGTGAAGAATGCGACCCCGAGTGACTCATCTCTACAATCTTTGTTTAAAGGGCTACAAGCAGAGGTCCAGAGATAAGTCGACTGCCCTCTGGTGGTGTGGCTGTGCAACGACAACTGATTTTGTGTTTCTAAATTCAGTTTATCAGATCATACATCGATAAATCCTTTAGCAGGATCAGATGATGAATTTATTGGTAACAGCTTTTATCATATAGGCCTATTAATAATTCCAAAGCCCCTTAAAAAATTAAATGTATCTGTAGGCTATAACATAAAACATCGAGTAAATAAGCAACAATGTGAAAAGGAAAATCAAACTCACAAAAAATCGAATCCTAAAATGTATTAATAAAGTTACGCACTACATAATAGTGAATGTGTGTGTGTTGGCAGACTGACAAACACACATATGTCCTCACAGAGCGAGCAGGTGGACAGCTCCTTTGACCTCCGATGCTGGAGGGTTTCATAGAGGGAAGGTACTAAAGCAGCTGTACAGATGTTCCTCCATCATAGATCAATGCAGATTAGCTGACTCCTGCAGTGCAGATTCTGTCTGGAGGGTAATGGACAGCGGCTGTTTGCAACAAGCAACAAACCGTGCGCTGGCACGCATGTGCATTATGGGTGTGCTCTAGTACTTTAACAAATAGCACACTCATGGATGTACAGTACACAGAGAACACTACACTCATGGATAATCCGCCAACGCAGCAGTCTGCACAGATACAATTTGGGTTCAATTAATCAGATGAGAACTGCCAACAAAATATTCTGCAAAATAGCTTGGACTTTAAAATATAACTACATTAATTAATGTACTCTCATTACCACACAGAAACTTGGCAGTCTGAAATTATTTTATAAATCCCCTTAGGGACTCCATACATTTATACTATATTTTTGTATCACATTTTTTAGATATATTTTATAATAATCAAAATCTACAATATATATATTTTTGTATCAGAATTATTTGAATAAAAAAAAACATGACATGAGATATTAAATAATTCCAGCCATTATTTACAATGTAAATAATCTGACAGAAAGCTCTCTAGCTCACGTATTAAAATATATTAGAAGGTAAATTCACACTATATTTAACAGTGATTCGTCCGCTTTGTCCATTAGCTGATGATGATGATAATGAGTCAATTAAACAGTTACTTTATTGTGTGAAAATCACTCTCACAAAAGCCAGAGATGTTAGCTTGCAGAAATGTAGACGACCACATTTGAATGCATGACTCCACTCCATAAATACTGCATGGGAAATGAAAAACATGGCCCTGCAATTAGGCTAAATACATTTTTTATTTTTAAAAACCATACACATTACTCGACAAGTTTCAAATGTAAATCCAATCACGATATCCATTTAAAATGCTCAAGATAAACAGACATGAAGTACTTTTATTTCCAAATGTTAAAAGATAAAAAAATAATCCATAAAACAGATGGAAAAACATTCATTCCCACTACAGGAAGAAGCTACAGAACAAACTCCTCATGTGGATTCCGCTTGCCTTTTCAATTTCTCACTTTGTATGCAATCCCAGCTGCTATTTTATCATCTGTAAAAGATATCAATCTAAGTGTTTCCTCAGAGAACGTTGTGATTTAACATCTCCACGTCCTGTCCACGGCCCTCCAGGTGGAGACGGCCAGCCGGCAGCAGGACAATCTGCAGCCTGCTGGCCCAGCTCCTGTGTGGGTGACAAGCACCGTCCTTAACATTTAATTAAGCGTGTTAATATACAAACTAAAGAGGCCTGTTCTCTTTCACACCGATTGCACCCTGAGATGAATATTCCAGAACACACATTTTAGTGGCCAAAACCCTCCCCATATAACGTGATTGGTGTCAAATCATCCAAAATTGGTTTAGTACGATGAAAGGTATCATCGGTATTGTCATAAAAATACAAAGGTATACGTTTTATTATGATTTGTATCAAAATTGTTTTCCCCAAGGAACGCTATGAAATAAAGTACCCTGTGCAGATAGATACCAGTGTATGCCTAGTCTTTATTCTTGAAAAATGCACATGTCCAATTCTTTAGCGTTTCCAGTACATCAGGTGTCAAAAATATTTTACAAACAAACCAAATGCAGCAACATTAATCCATGTTGAAAGGAGTCTTATGGACAGGGTTCAAATCAAAAAAAGAGACCAAAAAAAGAAGCCTTCCCCCCCCGTTTTTAAATGTCAACAAACCAGAACTCGGAGGAGTTAAATTAAGTTTTCCCTAAGGCATGACTCAAAAGATTGATGAAATATGAAAATAATTCACTTGCTTTTTTTTTTTTTAATCAAGACATTTTTTTGCTATCTAAATACACAAAGTCTGAAGTTAAAAAGGTTCTTTTGTTATAGATTCCTTTTAAATTAAATATTTCCTCTATGCCTGAGTCAACAAATGTTAATATTATACATTGGCAGGGGGGTATGTTTGCTGAGATAGACAAAAAGTAAAAATGAAATGCACTGGTTTAAAACAAAGAAAAACCAAAGATAACCAGGGGCCATATTTACCAAGCATCCAGAGAGCGAATGATTCACAACTGGCCCAGAACCATCAGAATGAAGCGGATTGGTCCTACGCTTAGCTGTAGGAGTAACAGTGTTTATCTGAGGAGTTACCTGCAGGCGGGAAATGCATCGTCTCAATTGTTTTTGTAGCCAAGGCACATTCAAGTTTAGTGTGAGTGAAGAATAAATAGGAGCACTTGCTGAATACAGCAATACTTTGAACAAAAAGGTGATTTTAGTAGTGTTTTATGAGCTGTGGATAAAATCAATGTTAGCCTTGCATGCATAAATTAGCCACACACCCATGAGATTTCCCTGCATCAAATCTTTTAAATCTAACTACTACAAGAAGACATTTTACTTTACGGTGCAGTGTGTAAAACAAAACAAATCTAAAGAACTTCTACTTCCTGCTGAAGCGACTGCAGGAGGTTAATAACTTCATTTCCGACTGCGAGGTAAGACTTTGTTTCAGCATGATATTGGTGTCAGTCTGAGATGCTTGCTAAAGATGGGCCCAGATATCTTCTTAACTCCCTTTAATGAGTGAACCTTTAACATGTGGAAATCCTTGAACACAAAAGAATGAATGAAAAGAGAATCCAGAACTCCAGAAGGTTTTGTGCACATGAAAACTATCGAAGAAATGGAAGAATATTTATAGCAATGTTAGTGGACAGAGGCCCGAATTGTCTTTCCCGTCGCGTCTCCTGTGAAAACTCCTCCAACCGTGGACCTCTTTTCTATACAAGCCTTAGTGTTTATCGGTTTGGCTAGAAGGTTCTACATGTATCTACAAATATATAACAAATAAAACTTGCAGGCAAAAATAGTTAAGTTTCAATAGAAACACCCTTTTTGTCCTGAAAATACAGCAGTATCTGAAATAATCCTCTCATTCATTTTATATTCTGTCTCAGTTTTCTGCATCATACATCAGGAAGCTCTTTTGCCTACAAACAGAAAAAAAGTATCTACAAACTTTGTAAACAGACCTGCTTTTTCCAAAAACATAAATAACTCAAAATATTAACAGCCAATGGAGCAGAAATAAGTTTTGAATGAGCAAGGGCCAAAGAGATAAATATACAACACCATTCAGATAAAAGAGAAGCGTAAAGGTTCTTTCAGAATTCTTACAGACGATCTTCAAGCCAGGAGGAGCACCCCCCCTTCTCAATTCAAATAATAATAATAATAATAGAATAATAAAAACAGGTCACTTTCAATCCGGGTTTATAATCACCCCTTGTTTACCGAGAAGAAATAAAAAGTGACCAAGGAGGGAGGGGGGAGGGGGGAGGGGTACAATAGAGTCCTTGTGTTGCAGCGGGGTAATAATAAGAACAACAAAAAGAAGAAGACCAAAGCATCCACACCAAGCCGTACATTCCTCTGAATGTTTGCTGTTCTGAGTCCAGCCAGCTCACACACGCTCTCCTTCTAGCCCTTCGCCTCTCTCTCCAAGTGTTCGTCGTTCCTGTTGTCTGCGTGGAGCTCCTCGTGGCGGGTAGACGGGTGGTGGAGACACGTGGCGGGGGTCAGATCAAAGGGAGGTCTCCAGGCTGTGTAGGGGGCTCCCCGGGGCCGAGGGGGTTCCTGATTTGGGGCCCTCTGGGAGGAGGTGGTTACCGCTCTCCACAGCGTTATTGTTCTGGTTTGGGGAGGGAGAGACCGGCGTGGCGGGGATGACGGTGGGTGCGATGGTGGTGTGGGAGGGTGTGGGTGAGGGCGGCGTGGGCGTGGTGTTGCGGGGGCTGGAGGAGTTGCGCTTGGTAGGAGCGTCGTCCTCGGCGTCGGTGTCATCTATGAGGGGAATATGGGGCTCAGAGTCCTCTATCCGGAACTCGGGGTGGTTCATGAAGTTGTGGATGGATGACCGCGAGTCGGGCTTATCCTGCCCGTCATAGAGGGAGATGGAGCTGCGGAATGCATTCACCACCCGGATCTGGAGGGAGGGGGAAGCGACAGGGAACACACCGTCAGTCACAATCAGTACGGATGTTTGTGCGTTTTAAATTTGGACAACATAAAAAACTGAAGGGCGCAGGTTTTCTTGGGTCAATAAGAGGTGAGTTTTAGGGGCAACAAATTCTGTGAGGGGGAGAACTCTCGTGCAGGTGTGCAGTTATGTCCAGTTGTTTAAATTCACAACTTGTAATAGCAGTTCACTTTAAGTTGGCTGCCCAATATTTGCCGAGACGTTTGCCTTCAAACCACCGAAAATTCATACTTGTATGGCAAAAAAGTGTAATGAGGAGCAGCCTATGTTCTTCAGTTCGATTCATTTGCCAATATACCAAAACATAAATGCAAAAATGTCACAATATTTTACATTTCTGATGGACAGAAATGATGCTAATGCTAATCAAGTATAACGAGCTAGACTTTAGCCATGACTCTAAGGAAAGTGTTTCGGAAGAATAGAAACCTCGAGTTCCATTCAGTAGAAATAAAACTGATACCTGACTGTAAGCTTGTAAAAACAGATATTCTTCAAATCCATTAAGGAAATCCTCCAATGTCTTGGGAAGGGTCAATCCAATGTCAAACCCAATGCAATGTATGTTTTTGTTTTGGTGAGTTCAGTTGCAAGGTGTCACAAAACACTTGGTGTCTGATTAATCAAAATGCAAAAAGGAAACTAAGAGACAAGAGGGATGTTGTTCTTTAGACAAGAACACATCCGAAGACAAGAGAGGACAGAGGCTGGACACAAGAGTTTACTTGGACATGCTTAGGAAAGAGTTGGGAGAGAAAAAAGGCAGGAAGAACAAACGACAAGAAAGTGACAGAGAAAGAAGGACAGACAGAGAGACAATGTGAATAGAGACAGAAAGAAAGACAGTTAAAAACAGACAGGGGAAAAGAGAGACAAAGGAAAGAGACAGAAAAGGAAGGACAGGAAAGAGAAGCAGAGGACAGAGACAGAAAAGGAAGGACAGGAAGAAATTGAAAGAGGACAGAGACAGAAAGAGACAGGAAGAAAGAGACAGAGACAGGAAGAAGGAAGGGGTGGTCAGTTACAGCTTATGTTTGTGGGGTAAAACAAAAAGCTGCGGCAGCCAAGCTACAAGCTGGTTTACGTGTCAAAAACAGCACAAAGAGAAAAACTCACAAACGAGACCAGAGAACTTTGAACCCATGCAGAGCGTGGCGCTACCTTGTGTTCAATGGTAGTAAACCTTTGAGTATAGCCCATGACACATTTCACAGAATCTAAAGGAGAATATGTGGGGAGTCAGTGGAATTCATTCTTTTCAGGCAACACATTGCCAGGTGGACACATACTGACAACAAACAAGTATTCAACAAGGAAAAAGACTTTGAGAAACTCAAGGAGAAACCTGAAAGGAAAAGTTCAGAGTTTAGAATGGAGGCAGGATCAGGGGATTCAGGGGGTCCCACCTGAGACAGAGATCTGAACGTTACTTAAATAGCATATTTTCCGACATGCCATGGGGGAAAAACAGTAGAACTAGTGTGAGTGTATCTGGGAAAGTCCCACGTTTTGACATCCAAGGGGCAAAGACATTTGTTCCACACTCGGGACATCTGTTAGACATTTAAGATCCACGGCTGGTCGGATGGTCTTGCCTAGGAAGATCTGAAAGAGAAAAATAGTCACCAGCCACACGGTTGTTGGAGCACGGCCTTTGGAAATACCATCATCAAATGATCCGTGTCCGCTCCCTATGTGGTGATGTCTCATGCAGAAAAGGGCTGCCAGATCTTACATAACTACACGCATCCAATGAACTGTCATATAAGCTGCTGGTCCACTACAGGGTGCGATTGGAGCCTCTCCCTTGCCACCCCCTATCTTTTTCACGGCCACAGCTGGAGGAGAAAAGCTCATTATTTCACTGACTGACAAGACATCCACTGACACTCGGATACATTATCTCACAGGAGGTCCCCATCTATGGTTTTTGGCCGTGATCATGGGCATATACTCAAAACATTTACCCAACTAGGGACTAGCGAGCTGCGACACAGACCCATGGGTGCTACAGAGGAACAGAGCACAAGGGGGGGGGGAAGCTACAGGCAAACCTGGTGACAGTCAATCCAGAATACAATGCTTGTCAAATATGAAATACACATCACCCCCCCCTGCCCTTCCCAACCTATGCCATTTCTAGGACTGAAGCAGAAGCAGAACAGAAAACATGATGACACAGAGATAACACTTTGACACTAGAAGCGACCTGGTTACATACACACATACATATATATATATATACAGCAGTGTTATCGAAGCAATATGGAAGATGTCTTGCTGGTGTCTTTTTTACATTACATGACATTTGAGGCATGAGAGAGTAAAAGTGTCAACGTTAGGTGAGAAGAAGAGTGGAGGAGGAAGATGTTAGGAAAACAGAAGAGGTAAAAAAAGTCTCATGCACTAGAGGAGAACACGCACTCACACCCCACAGTGGCAGAAGCGGTGTTGGCGGCAGTGGCAGTAGTGGTAGTAGTGGATAAGGCTACATGTGTAGGGCTAGAAACATTGGTTACATCGTGCTGTTGTTGGCTGGAGTTGGAGGCCTGCCGCCTTAGAGCCCCCTGAAAGGAAGTTCCACTCTGGAACGCACTCACTACATCCATCTGCAAAGAATCAGACAGCGTGACAGGAGAAAAGCCCAGAGGAAATAAAACACAACACAGCCAGAGGAGAGTGAAAAATAAAGAAAAGGCACCAGCAACAATAGAAAACATAACTTGGAAATTTGATTTAGGCATTATAGTTCAAAGAGAGAGAGAGTAAAGGGGGACGCTGGGTTTAAAGGCACTGATCGGAGGGAGCTCTGACCTCTCACTCTTTTCTCCGCAGAATCCGTCCATATTTCCAGGGAATAGCAATGCCAATACGCTTTGAACATTCAGCCGTTTTATCGTGCTTCCAATCCAATCGCTTCTCATCAGTACCTTCAAACTTGTCGTGTTTTAGCAGATTCAGAACGAGTCAAAAATAGCCCAGAAGCAAAACAGAAAATAAGAGGAAAGGCTTTTGTTTAAGGGCACAAGCCATTCTTTAAGAATGCCGAGAAAGAGAACATCGATTTTAAGCTGGAAGAGCAATAGAGTTAAAGGGTTTATGGCTTTTGATTCCCTTGGACTTTGGGGGTGTTGGTTTTGGTGCAGGGAGGGTCTGTGGATGGTTACCTGAGTCTGGATGCGGTTGAGGCCTCTGAACCAGAGGATCTGGCCTCGACGGAGCTCCCGCTCTGCGTGGTCGATCTCATCGTTGTCGTCCAGCTCGTCCAGCTCCTCGTCCGGGATCTCATCCTTCTGGGTGCCATGGCCCGCTGATTTCAAGAATTTTAAGCGGCTGGTAGGTATCGAGGAGATGACCTGGAACACATGAGTGTTTACATGAGCAGCACTGACTTGTGAAAATGTCAAACTCCTCCGATTGGCATTTAATTACGAGCTACGTTTCATCAGAGACATTAAACAGCCGGTGACCCTGAAAATGTCTGCCAGGCTCCATGGCAACGACAGCTGTACGTCATCTGGGTTTGCTCCGTGTCCAAGCTCATCCCACAGTGAGGTGACAGGCTTATAAATAAACACATTTTTGTAACAAAGCTAATCAAAAAGGGGATAATAATGATGTTCTAAGTTATGTTAACAAATTATTTCAATATGGTACAACAAATATAGACCAGAAATAATAATAAACTAAACATTTCAGTAATTTTTAAGCAAAAGTGCTGAAAATGATTTGATGTCTGATTTCAGCTTCCATCATGATTATTATATAATGTGTTTTATATATATACACATACACACACATATATATATATATATACACACACACACACACATATATATATATATATATATATATATATATA